AGATCATTTAGGTAGGACGGGGAGAAACCGTGAACTATTTTATGAAAGTATGTAATTTTAATATTTTCCCGTCGGGTAGAAAGACTTACCCAAGCAGTTTCTTTACACAAACGTTCATTACTACATAGTTTCCCCAGTTACGACTCTGGCCGCCTCTAACTGAATAGCTTCTAACATTTTTTATCGACATTCGGTCATGTTAGCCCACACTACATTGCCATATTCGAGGATAGGACTAATGAAAGAGAAGTACATGGGTTGTAAAGATTTTCGGTCAATCTTAAATTTCAGCTTTCTCAATAACCCTAACTTAGAATTTGCTTTCCTCATGATAGAATCAATATGATTTGCTCACTCCCCATTTTCAGATAGGATTACTCCGACATGTTTATGTGAGGTGACCTGATGAAGAGGAATATTATTCATTAATAATGGGGGATGTTGGGGTTTAATTCTTTTCTTTCTTATTGTTAATGTTTCTGTTTCGGAAGGGTTAAATTTAACAAGCCATGAGTCCGACCAGTCATGACGTTTTCTTAGATTATCGTTTAGAAGATCTGCACATATATCGGGTACATCAACAACAGCATATAATGACGTATCATCAGCAAAACGTTTGATTATTGCATCTATATTATCAACGATATCATTAACAAATATAAGAAAAAGAAATGGGCCTAGAAATATTCTCGGTCGAACTTGAACGGACGTGTAGATATAAAGGAAGAAAAATAATGGATGACAGACGTATGAACGGACGAAAGTGAGAAGGGTGGAGAGGACGTACAAATGAAGAGGACGACAAGTAAAAAAAGACAAACACGGACGGAAACGGCGGACGGATAAGAATCGCGACCAGAGAGTAAGACAGCCAGATCTCCCTTCTACCACGGCGAGATTTCTGTCTCCATTTGTCTTCACATTTAGTTTTTATTTTGGCTTCAGTGCCAAAAATATGGTTGACATATTCTCTGAGTGTATTTATTATCAACAAGTTATCTGATTATCACGAGTGATTTTGTTATTCGTATATCAAAAATTGAAATCTACAAAAAGCCAAACCAGTGCTTTCAAACTTGAGATCAGCTTTCGATAATTCGGACGAATTTTAAGCGAATATTACAAAAAATCCGATTTTTCCACAGTTCGGACTTTTAATACCGTCTGACAATTTCTAGAGATTGGGCCTGGAAAAGGGCGGTTGAGCGGCCCCCGCCTGAGATGGGGCGGGTTGAGGGGCCCCGGCCTGAGATGGGGCGGGTTGAGGAGCCCCCGCCTAAGATGGGGGACATAGTTAATAGTGACTGAATACTTGTATATCACACAAGAATTACTTAGGACCTAGGATTAAAACACTATGAAGTGGAATATACATACAATGCTAATATAGCAAAGAATAAAAATTGACAGAATATACACTAGTATAGTGTTAATTAAAAATGATACCGAAATCAATTAACAAAAATTATCAAGTTTTGTAAAAAAAAATATTTTAGAAAATATGGAATTAAAATACAAATAAGATGCAGCAAAAATATGGAATAGAATTAAAACATATAAGAAATGAGATAAGATAATAAAAGTATCACACAATCCAAAATGCCAGGTGGCAGAGGTAACCAGGGCACAGTATGAAGTATCACTCTTTGCAGATATTGCAAAGGCAGATGGGGCCATCCCAGGAATGGACCAGCCTACTGAATTCTTTGAAGTTTTCAACTGTTCTGAAGTCATTTGGGAGAGTGTTCCACACCCGGGCGGCCTCAAAAGCAAACGATTTATGTCCATACTTCACAGTGTTGACCCTGGGCACCTCTGCAGTATTTTCTTACCTGAAGTCATAATTAGACATCTTAATATTTACAAGATTATGAATATATTCAGGAGAAATTTTGTTTATAATTTTAATTTTAACAATTTAAAGCCATACAAACGGACGGCCAAGATGTACAACAAAAGGGGAGACAGCGATGGAATTTTTTTTTTATCAAAAACGGGACGAGACAAGTCATAATGATAAATTTGAAGAGTAAGTAAGACAGCGAGAAACGAAGCACTTATACCGCGTTGTTCGAGAGATTTATCTCCCTTCCACCAGAGATTTCTGTCGAGCAGCGCACAGGGATGACATGCCGATAATCGGGAAGTTCAGATTTTATGCGAAATATTCTTCTTCGAGTTCTTGTCTACTTCGTCTATCATAGTCAATGATAAAAATATGTATTATCGGGAGGGGGGATCCGCATAACTTCTGTGGTTTATAATTCGACGGACTGACTACCCGTCAACATTCTGGACAGATCTGAACAATGTGAACTCGGATTATTTAGTGCTTATTTTGTAATAGAAAGGTAGTCGAAAAGAAGTGTTGAAAAGTATATGCGTCTTCGCCGGGGATCGAACCCCCGACCCTCCAGACGGACGCACTATCTCTAAGCTAAAGAGAAATCCGCTACAGCTGGGCGACTTTGACACGATACATTGCACGTTTCTTCATCCTGGAAGGCTCATGCAGACCTGGTTCTCTGCTACCTACCACGGGGAGGTCTAACTACCACGGGGAGTGCTACCTACCACGGGGAGGGTCGACGGCATCAGTAGTCACAACTTCGGAAGTCATCTACATTACGGCTATGTATAGGCTATGTAAGACTATTCTTGTGGATTTCATGCATGGTGCGAGGATTTGTTGGAAAGTCCATTGAGCTTCGTTTGTAAATGATTTTACAGTGTGAATGTTTTAACACCGTTCCAGCAAAGGTGTTTAGCACGTTCCTAAGTCAGAGATCGATTATGACATAATATCTATATATATTATGTCATAATCGATCTTTGAAGTAATTAACAGGCTAAACACCTTTGGTTCAAGCCCCTTCTCCTTTACTCTCAGGTACATTAATGGGGTTCGGAGCTCAGCCGGTTAAAAAAAATGAAGGGAAAAAAATGTTTGACTGAAAGGGAATCATCCATGCGAAAATACTCCGAAAGAGTGTGACTTATAATTTATGCTTTTTGTCGGTGACACGATGATCTCCAAAAAATATTGCTGGAATCAAAAAGTATTCGTCCAAAGCAAATTATGTGAAATGACGATATATTCTAAACAAGTTTCTCATCGTAAAACGTCATTTGTTCCTGAGTAAATACTGTTTCCAAGATAGTTTAGTATCTCCCGTATTTACTAATAAAGGAAGAATTCTTTAACACTGAATACTGAATTGCCTGACGTTACAGATATTGTTCCCAAAAAATCAGAGGATACTAATGTCTGATGCAATATGGAAACACTGATTTATACTACATGTAGTTTAAAAATGATAAATTTGATAATTAAAAGAAGCCGTCTACCAGACCAGAGATGTATGTACTACAGCCTATATATGTCTCTGTTCAGACTTTGCTATTTTTATGCAAAGTTGATTAAATCTCCGAAATGTCACGTAACCTGCCATGTCATTTAACTGTGACTTCGACAGACTATTAACTATCTTTTTGAAACCCCGCAATTATTGATATGTAGAGCGCTGTCAATAGATTTAGGATCGTTGTCGTCTTGGTAAGGGGAGGTTACTCTATCGTCGTCATGATTTCCAGTAACAAGATACCAGTCCATTGTTCTTAACCGCAGCTCAATCCAAAACTGATCCAGAGTAACGATGTTCTTTCTTAAATCAGTCTCAATAAACGAGGATTTCATTCAATAAACAAAATATGGAGGAATATTACATTATTTTATATCGTTAACTCTAAACAAATTAAGCAAGGAAAGGTATCCTTGTCCGACTCCCCATACAAAAAATGTTTTCAGCACATTTGATTTTTGTGACCTTGAGCGATGATCAAGGTCATCAACGTTTACAAAATTTTATTGCATTCCACTTTAACAGTGTGTAAGTTTAGTCCAGTTCGGATTAACGACTATGTTTCAGTCTAGTCAAATCCCGATTAACAAGGTTTCAGTCTAAGACAAACCAGATTAACGAGGTTTTAAGTCGAACACAGTCCGAATTAACGAGGTTTTAATCTAAAACCTTGCGGATTGACGAGGTTTCAGTCTAACACAATCCGGATTAATGATGTTTTCGGATTAACTCGGTCCGTATTAACGTGGGTTCAGTTTCTTCCTGAACCAGTCGGGATAACGCGATTATGTCCATTTTAACGAGATTTCAGTAAATATCTCGGTCTAGGCTCAAGCCAAAAAGTTGACACAAAAACAAAAAGGAAAAATAACTAACCCAATTTAATTTTAGGCAATCAAGTGTATGTACGGAGGTCAGTTTCAGCCCTGCTGAAACTGACCTCCGTTCAAACCCGTCATTAGTGTACACGTAATTGGACACTTTGGACGTTATCAGGGTAGGCGTTGGTCGTTATCTTCTTCTTCTTCCATTTACTGCGGCAGATCTCATAGATATGAGTGCAGTTGCCGCAATCGCCACTACCTTAAAGTAAAAGGACGGTTTTAGTCGTATTATCGTTACAGTCTCAGCAGCATTTTGTGTTGGTTCAAAGACCCGCGCTCGGTCTCCACGGGGAGTCTATAAGCCTCGGGTCAGATTTTAGGATACCGGGCACAAAGAGAATATGTTAAACATGTAATAAATCAAAACAAATACATCACTTCGACTTTTCACTTTAAATAAGTATACAGCAATGCTATCGTATCAGATGTTAGCAACTTTACCTATTTAAATACCAAAAATCCTGACATCAGCTGTTCGCTCAAACCATGTGGGCCTTTCAGATGGTTAATCTCAAGCCGCTTAATTGGGTCAGGCCATTCCATTGATTCGTGACATATCAACCACAATACAAACTGTTAACGTATTTTAAAAACTTACTCGACCAGTGACAACAGATAATGTATCCTTTACTTTTGATTATACCGATAAGGACAGACGGCTTTATATACGGATTCGCTTCGTTGACTTTAGCAAAACCGCAAGTTTGAGGGGCTGTATACCCTCGAGTAAAAATGAGATCGTCCAGGCGATAGGTTCCCCTCGCCGAAAAGATTTGGAACTTATTACTACGCTCAGCAGATCTGCAAGATGGCCGTGCGGGAGCTTCATCCCGTGCTAAAATTAACTTTGATTTTAACTTTTACACAATTTATTTGTGCAGAAGTTCTAACTCCACCCTACTTTAATTTAGCCCAGGGACGAGAAATTACTGCAACATCAACATGTGGCGAGTCACCCTCCGGTGGAGAAAGTAGAGAACGTTACTGCCGACTTACGGGTGCAACGGGTCGAGAAAGATCGAGGGTAGATACAGAAATTATTCAAGGCCAGTTCTGTGATTATTGTGACCGGAATGAGCCAGGAAGAGAACACCCTGCAAAGTATGCCATTGATGGTACAGAACGCTGGTGGCAGAGCCCCCCTCTATCCCGGGGTATGGCTTACAGTGCTGTCAACCTCACCGTCAATTTGGGTCAGGTACGTGAGCAAATGAACAAATCAATAGTAAAAATTATGTTTTAAAGAGTTTGCTTTAGATAAAAATCCAGGGGTGCCGATTTTGTAAAGTTGACCTTCACTTTAAATCCTTAGATTACATAAACACGCGATAGCTAAACTGAAACTAGCGTTCCCCGATTACCGTAAATCTCATACAGTGTAAAATGCGGGCACCTTATCGTAAGTGAGTTGTGTAACAACAAAACAGTTGTACAGGTAAGCCAGTGTGATAACCACTAGTCTACCTGTGCTGTAGACTAGACTGTTAGGCCAAACAAAATTATTATGTGTCTGTTCTCAGCAATAAAAAAATAAGGGCTACAATTTTTTTTTTAAGTAACAATCAGAAAACATAATTAACCATAATTTCAAAATGCTTATTTAAAGTTATGGAAATTAAGTTAGAGTAGTCTGAGCGATCTGGAGTAGGAAGAGAATCAGAAACAGGTTTTTCTCCTTGCCTGTTAAAGGTATACATATTTTACACATCTGTGTTTCTGTGTTGCTTTTACTGGATTGCTGTTCAAAGATAACTGTGAATAAATTGATAATATGTCGGTTAACTGTCGTTGATTTCTTTGTAGATCTAGGCATTAGTAATGATTCCTCTGCATCACATGCCAATTCATTAACATTTCTTGTGTAACCCCTGCCCCAACTCTCCACCCCTAAGGACACCGCTTTAGTTCCAACTCGCCACCGCTATTGTCAAGGTCACAGCTAGAGTACCAACTCTCGTCCGCTATTGTCAAGGTCACAGCTAGAGTACCAACTCTCGTCCGCTATTGTCAAGGTCACTGCTAAATTTTCAACTCTCTATCGCTATTGTCAAGGTCGACGTCACAGCTAAAGTTCCATCTATCCACTGCTATTGTTAAGGACACAGCTTAAGTTCCAACTCTCCACCGCTATTGTCAAGGTCACAGCTTAAGTTCCAACTCTCCAAAGCGTTTCAAAGTGGCTTATGTTAGCTAGATAGGGCGCAACATCAAATGTTGTATATTTATTTATTTTTATTGTCAAGGTCATAGCTAAAGTTCCAACTTTCCACTGCTATTGTCAAGGTCACAGCTAATGTGTAGAATGTCCAGAAACTTTTTTTTTTAAACAGTTGGAAATCCTTTGATGAAAGCGAAATGACGGGGGTATGGAATTACTTTAGTCAAGGTCACAGTATATAATGTTTGGATTAAACACTTGATGCTTGAGGAACAATTTTTGAACTAGTGTGAATTATTGAATTTGATAATAAAGTTTATTATCAACTGGTGGTATATGTTGACTACTCTTTCCTGGTATGTACTCTCAAGGTCGCAGCAAGAAGTTGAAGGTCAAATCACTGTCATTTTCAAGCTTTTCAAAGAGTACCAGCTGCAGTGTTTTCTCCAGGTTTGAAAATAAATTGGAGTAGGGATGGTGGTTGGGGTGTTAATATGTGTAATTCCAAAATTTAGGGTCAATTTATAACTACAAGATACCTCAATATGGAGAAAACCCTGCAGGTAATACCAAAATGTGCTGCTATTACACTCGATCAAAGATATCGGTCCCAGGATTTGATGGCTTAGTGTGTTCATTAATACAAGAAGGTTGAGACAAATGATTTTACAGAAGTTTAGTATACTTATACCACTATATATTATCATGGTACTGTTGATGTTTCCAATATATCCGTTAATATTCCCTATTATTTCTAATATAGAGTTGAAATGAAAAGGAATAAAGGGATAAATAAATATGAGAATTTTGGTATGAGATTGTCTATTTAGGTTTGAAATTTGTAATAAGTTTATAAACAGTTTAGATCATATTACAGAACAGGTGTCAGTTCCTGCCTTACCTATATACACAGATAGATCAACACACCTGTACTCAATGACTAATGGTCAGTATGACCAGGTGTAGGTACACCTATTGTCCACCTCCCTTACTAGATATCACATGATGAGGCTTCACCACAGGGGGTCCAGAGGTCATTACCTAACGAAGGACAAGCTGACCACTGATACATACCATATTTATCCTGTTATCCCCACTCTTCCAGCTTAACATTCCAATAAACCAGCTAAATATGTCAAGGGAATGATGTAATATAAACTATGTAGATCGATCATTTTATGATTTTAATGTAAGGGGTTTTGCACAGAATTTTGGGAAAGGCCACCTTTCTTAAAATGAGGGGAAATTAGTTAAAAAAAAAAGATAAATATCATTGGAAATCGGGCCAAAAATTTTAATAAAAAAATTATGACGTTGCACTTCGGACTTTACATTGAAAGTATGTTTTTGACTGTACGAAATGAAATTGAACTCCTGGGTCGGAAAGGACATATCTATTCCACATGTGTTTTGACCAAAAACTATGTTTTGACTTCTGAATTTGCTTGATGACAATGGTCAGCAGTGTGCAATATTCTTGAATTGATAGCATATTCAAGAGAGTGGTGCAGGAGGGATGGAATGAATGTGTAAATTGCTAGAAACAAAAAGTTTCTCGGCTTTCATATTGATTTCATATTTTCTCTCCCTCCCCCTCCCTTCCTCCCTCCCTCAACCTGGCACTTGAGCAGATAAGAATACTTAAAACAACTGAACCCCTTATCTGAAATAGGCACTCTGTAAACCAGCTAAGAGGATTTCAAGTATCAAAATATTTCAAAGGTCAAAGTTTTACAGGATCCATCAAAATGTGGAATACAGTTTTATCGTCTGATGATAAAAAATCAAGTTACTAAAGATAACCCAGTTTTCCTGTCTGTATATTTATGGCTTGACTTTGGCCCCAATCCCAATGATATTTAAATATTTGTATACATAATTTGATACAGGAAAAATTTGCAAATTTGAATAAAAAAAAAAGAATTTTCCTTCCTTTTATTACATGTGTTTCTGCCAAATTTTCGTTAAAATACACTCAATTACAACTTACAAAAGAGTTGTCTGAGATTCTTAAAAGCTTACCCTAATATTTATGAAGCTACTTAATCACACATTATACCTGTGACTGTGTTAAGGATGTACACCTCTGAGAATACAAAAAATTCCTGTAATAAACTTTCTTTCTTATATTGATTTTTGGAAAAAGGAGATAATGGCATAGTAGAAAATGCAAAAAAATATATATGGCGGTGTGCTCGTTTTTGTGCTATGGTGTGTCAAAGATACCAATATAACACAATAGGTGATTTTAGGTGAATTTTCGGGTTTTGACCATTTGCAGAACAAATTCATACAATTTCTTCCAAGTGTGTTATCAGATATGTATGAATGTTTGTAGAATTGATAAAAATATTATTTTCTTTTAAATCATGGAAGTAAAATTTCTTAATTTTATTCATTTTTCTCAGAAATGCGATTTTAGTTACCCCTACCCCTTATTTTGTAATGAAAAAATACACATTTTTTCACCATTTTTTGCAGATTAAACGCTTGATATAAAAAACAACTGTATTAAACTTTTTTTAGTATTCAATGAATCAAAAGAAAATGTGTTTCTCTTTCTAAAACAGCCACAAAAATGGGGGGTTGGTGTGCTTCTTTTTTTGTCCCATTATTATTTGTGTTATTTTTCACCTTTTTCGGGGTCAAAAATCAAAAGTGCTTCGGTTACCCTAATATGTAAAAAAAAATACCAATAATATATAACTTTCCACTTTTTTTCACATTATTTTAATCATATTGAACATTATAAAGTTGTACAGCAAAATTGAACCTGCTACATTTAACAATGGTGACACAATGACAATTTAAAATATCGATCTAGTGTCAAAAAAGGTGAAATTTTGCTTTTTGTGAAGCGCAAGAAATTCACAGAAATACACTTTTTCAAAATGGCCGCCAAATTGGTCAATTTTTTCAAATTCTTGTTAAAAATGTTCTACACACAACAGACATCTAGTTTTTTTATATGTTTTTCAGATGTGTGTTTGCTGTTAAACCTATCATAATTTGTTCAATATTACAAAAACCTGTTACACCAGATCAAAACGAGACTTAAACGTGACTGAAACCTCAGAAGAGTACATCCTTAAAGTTAAGGGTATCTGTTACCTTTCACGTTACAATGTAATATGCGTTAAGAGTTAAGGCTATATGCTACCTTACAGGTCATACTGTCACATGTTATTTGTGTTAGAGTTAAGGCTGCATGCTACCTTACAGGTCATACTGTCACATGTGATTTGTGTTAGAGTTAAGGCTGTATGCTACCTTACAGGTCATACTGTCATATGTGATTTGTGTTAGAGTTAAGGCTGTATGCTACCTTACAGGTCATACTGTCATATGTGATTTGTGTTAGAGTTAAGGCTGTATGCTACCTTACAGGTCATACTGTCATATGTGATTTGTGTTAGAGTTAAGGCTGTATGCTACCTTACAGGTCATACTGTCATATGTGATTTGTGTTAGAGTTAAGGCTGTATGCTACCTTACAGGTCATACTGTCATATGTGATTTGTGTTAGAGTTAAGGCTGTATGCTACCTTACAGGTCATACTGTCATATGTGATTTGTGTTAGAGTTAAGGCTGTATGCTACCTTACATGTCAAACTGTCACATGTGATTTGTGTTAGAGTTAAGGCTGTATGCTACCTTACAGGTCATACATGTGATTTTTGTTACAGTTTAGGCTGTATGCTACCTTTGAAATCATGCATGTGATTTGTGTTAGAGTTAAGGCTGTATGCTACCTTATATTGGTTAAATTTGATTTGTGTTACAGTTAAGGCTGTATGCTATATATTGGTGAAATTTGATTTATGTTAAAGTTGAGGCTTTATGCTATATTTCATATTATATCATTAGTTTTGTATTAGAGTTAAGGTTACATGCTACACATTATTATCCACTTTGTGATTTTATGTTAAGAGTTATCTCCCTTAAAATATTTTTATTGGCATTTTTATATAATTCAGCATGACCACGGCATATCCATACACATTACGAAACTACATAGATTATATAGTAGAACAATGGT